AACAACCACCAGACGGCGATCAATGCGCCTGCGGCGAAGACCTCGTCTCGTCGCTTGGGTGAGCCATGCCATGCAGCCTTCCCAAGCCCGCCCATCCATGCAAGCACTACAGCGTACCGTTCCTACGTTACCACACACACCAACTACCCGTACCCCATATTCTGTCCCTGAGGAATGGCCCGCGTCCACCACCCCATCCGCTTCTTGGCCTCTGAGACGGACGGGACCCCAGGTTTGCTACCAACAGAAAGCACACGCTGTCTCTATGGGACATGTTCTCTCACGGGTGTATTCATGTGAGTCAATGGGGTCGCTCCCCGAGGTATCATCGCGGCTGTGCGCTCTCCTGATTGCGGCAAACATGATCAAAGCGATCGTGAACAGCGATGAGCGTTCTTCCTCGTCCGAGGGCCTCTTTGACTAAGGTATACAGATGGATGTCAACAGGCTGCATGGACGTTGTCGACACGTGGTAAATCATGGAGTCCCCCCGCCATCTAGCGTTCGCTGACAGACCTTAAAGGTAAAAACGGCCGACTTCTTGTGGGTTGTTACTTGTCATCCCCGGAATATGCCTCAAAAGACACCTGACGATTCGCGATGTGCAACTAAGACGAGAAGATCGACAACCTTCGTGAGTCTAGACCACAACCAAACCACTGGCATTGTTGACTCCCGAACGGTGCCGTGACTCCGCGGGACACTATTCCCAGCGCCCTTCGTCAAGTTTCATCAACACATTGGAGCACCAGCCCAGGAACGCGTTGCACTATCCCTACATGGTCCCTGGAGATCTACAAAGTACGTTCGCAAGCGAGTCAAGATGGCTGCACAAGGGTTTGCGCCAGTCGGATTCTCTCTGAAGCATCCAATACCGTATTCGTCCTGAATCTGGTCTGGACAACTTCGCCTTCGGAGTATACTCCCGTCCGTCTCATATGCAACCTCGACGTGCGAGCACCATTCTTTAGCAGGGCACGAGCAATGGCGCAGACGGCACATCGTTTGGCCGCGTCAAACCCGGGTGGCCACATCCATTTTGACTCGGGGCCCGTTGTCACGGCTTCCAGAAGCCAGTTCCTCTGAAATGTCTACCAACCAGAGCAGCTTGAAACGGCGGTCAGCGAGTAATCGAGCGAGTCTCATCCAACAATACGGGGTCCTCAACACGGATATGCATGGATCAGTTGGAAAGCCCGTTGTATCCCTATGCCTGACCTGTTGTTCCTTTCTTCCCAAAAATGCCGTGCCATGTACTACGCCACCCAAATTGATCTACAGAACCAGCGCTCGCCGCAAACACGCCATAATCTAATCTTGTCTGGCCGGGTCGAGCTTGACCTCGCCCACGACGGCATCAACCTCCGCCATGATCTCCGGTGTCAGTTTCTCCAGAACCTTCAGAGCACCCACGTTCTCGACAATCTGCTCGGGTCTTGAAGCGCCCGTAATCACAGAAGTAACGTTCGGGTTCTTCAAGCACCACGCAAGGGCCAGTTGCGACTGCGTGGCACCAAGCTTCTCCGCAATACCCTGGACGCGTACCGTCAGTATGCCATCCCAAAATCACGGGGTGGCCGGTGGGGACTTGCCTTGAGCTTGACGACGTTCTGAATCAGGGACTTCCACTCGTCGTTGCCATACCACTCCTTGTTGGCCCAGTTGACAAACTTGTCGCCCATGCCTTCGGCAAAGCGGCTGCCCGCCGGCGGCGCATCCAGACTCTCGTTGTACTTGCCGCTTAGCAAGCCCATCTTGATGGGGCTGAAGGTGGTCAAGCCGAGGCCGAAGCGCTGGTACAGGCGCTGGAACTCGTACTCGACCTTGCGGCGCTCGAGGATGTTGTACTGGGGCTGCTCGACGACGGGAGGAATCATCTTGAGGTCCTTGGCGATGCCACAAGCCTCGGCGATCTCGTCGGCGCTCCACTCAGAGGTGCCCCAGTACATGGCCCAGCCCTTGTCGATGACATGGTTGAAGGCGCGGACGGTCTCTTCCATGGGCGTCAAACGGTCGGGTCGGTGGGCGTATACGATGTCGACATACTCGAGATCGAGGCGCTTCAGAGAGGCCCGGAGACCCTCGATGATGTGCTTGCGAGAGAGACCGTGGTTGTTGATGAGTACCTCGCCGTTGGCGCCGCCCCAGTTGAGCTACAAAGGCTGAGTTAGCCGTTGCCATGTTGAGTGAAATTCCCAACGTCCAACTCACCTTGGTGCTGACAACAATATCGTTACGGTTCCAGTCGAACTTCTTGATGGCCTGGCCCATGATAATCTCGGAGTTTCCGCCAGCGTAGCTGCAACCATTGGATCAGTCTACGGACTGCGCTCTCTCGGCCGCGCGGAGCTTACCTCTCGGCCGTATCGAAGAAGTTGACGCCGAGGTCGTAGGCCTGCTTCATGCATGCAAACGTCTTCTCTGCTGACAGTTAGTGACAACCCCAAGAACCTCCACGCCGTGTGTCACTCGCGTACCGTTCTCAACGTGGCCGCCGAACCTGTGCGCATCATCTCAGTCAGCCCGGATCGCTCAAGTGTCATCAGCCAGAGGCGGCGCGGTTCACGTACGTCAGCCAGCCTCCCAAGCCAAGCACCGAGACATGAAGGCCAGAGTTGCCCAGGCGGCGGTACTGCATGCCCGTCTTTCTCGGTTCTTCCCAAGCCATTGTGTCTGTGGATCTCGATTCCGCGGTTTGAAAGGGGGTATCTCAGAAAAGCTATTCGTCGACTCCGTCACAGCCGTGCAACTTTGTTTCTTCGTTGAAAGGGAAAAGCGATGCAGAGGTTTTGTTTACAATGCTCTCCTGTCTTGGTCAATTTTTCGCACATGAAAGCTCCAAATCGTGCCCCGCGCCGCGGAGTTACTCTCGGGGAGCTGTCGCTGGCCCCTCCCCCCGCCAAACCCCACCTCGTCACACAGCGAGACCTCACGGAATTGACCAATGGACGCCCTCGTCGCTCATGCTACGCTCGCCCGGTGCAGTTGGGGCCGTGGGGACCCTTCGTGCGGAACACATGCAAGTTTCCACACACACACACACAGGGGAGCTCCCTTCCGCTCGTAGCTGTGTTCTCTCTGGAGATGCAATTGTTCACCGGTGCGCCACTGGCGATGAATGGAAAAGTTGCGTAGGATGCTCAAGTTCTCCAATGATTGCCATACCGGAGGCGTAGACAGGCGTGTCTGTTTGCATAATTTACAGAGTTGCCGCTACGCGTTTTGCTTACATCTGCGTCAACGGCTGATTCAGACATTTCTTGTCGATCAGGACGATCTAATGCATCATGATGTCTGAGAAACGTGCCGAAGACGGCTGTCCGTCGGTGTGACCGGCGCTCAGCCTCTCACAGCGCCACCTCTTCCAATATCAAGCCTCTTTTACCGAAGGCGGCGGCGGCGGCGGCAGCGGCGTTGGCGATGAATCCCGCCGGCCGCCATGTCCGGCCTTTAGTCGGCGCCGACACTCATCTCCGTGTGATTTCCCTTCCGGAGCTGAGTCCGGAGGCTCATCGGAGGATGCATCACCGACACATTACGATGCGGAGATACTCTCGGAAAAAGGATAACGGGTAAGCTGTAGTGGACCTACACTTATGGGCGGGTGTGGTGGACGCGGCGGAGACAGTCCACTAATTTGCTGAAAGTTACACGGGCATTTCGGTGCCTCTGGCGTGCTGTCCGTCAACCTGCAACACGCAACAACGTAATGGTGTCAATGCAGGACATCTCGAAGGTTTACACGTGGTAAGAGGCACGGTCGGGTCGGTTGGTGCCAGAAATAGCACCGGTGGCCTTCATGAATCGTGGACGGATTCAATGGCGAGAGCGAGACGGGCGGTTGGGGAATGGCAAAGACCACAATGACGGAGGCGAGTGGAAGACGACATGCAGAAGACATTGCAGCAGACGCGGCAGACGTAAATGCCATGCTCAGCTTTGCCCCACCAAGCTCTGTCTTTTCCAATACCTTTACCTAAGGTATGCAGCACTCCCACTCTCACTCTCACCAAGTTGTTACCCCGCATGACGACTTACAAGAAGCACCACCATGGCGGGGCACTCGCACTCGGGGTCTGATCGGAGTCGGTCCGCTCCCCCATCGGTAGAATTCCTCGCGTGAAATGGCGGCTGTCGCCCGCAGCTACACAGGTACCACCATCAAACCACTCCCCACGACGATCCAACTTTCTTTCCAAGGAAACTCCAAGAGCTGGAACACCACCTGGAGCCACCGGCAGAGCTTGCAGCTGATTTCCCACTTCCCTGCACAACGCCGATCTCTTTTCTCCCTCAGCAGCCAGCAGTCGACTCAAGAAATCGTGTCCGCATGAGTGCTGTGCCCTGACGGTGTACAAACCATCTTCCTTCTCTCAAAAGTTTGCCCCCCATTGGCTGCTAGTTCTGCTTCATTCGCAGAAATATTCGCCTCGACACGTTGCTTTGAAGCTTTACAAACAGACGAATCTTCCAATCAGCTAGATCCTTAGATCGTTGGGTTTCCTTTTCAAACACGGCATTTCTGGTACTATACAAAAAGCTTGCTGCTCGTCTCTCTCACTCCTGTCCTGGGGTTGTTACTCGACTCCTCGCGACCCTCGCCCGAACGAATCTACGAGTCAACCGAACTTACACGGAACCCGCGTCACAAACCAATCAGTCACAATGGCTCCTCACGAAGTTGAGGTCTCTGGCGTCGGCGCCGGCGGCCAGCCCAACAAGTACCGCAGATGGTGGAAAGAGCAGTCCGTCTACCAGGTGTACCCAGCATCGTTCAAAGACTCCAAGGGCAGCGGTGTGGGTGACTTGAGAGGCATCATCTCAAAGGTCGACTACTTCAAGAATTTGGGTGTCGACATTGTGTGGCTCTGCCCCATCTTTGAGAGCCCGCAGATTGACATGGTCAGTATGAACCCCCTCATCTCGTTCTCGCAGACTTGAGTAATGCAAATGCATCCTCGAGTGGCTGCTTGAATTCAATGGGTGCTTGCGATGGGCGTTCAGACTGACACAATTGGCAGGGCTATGACATTAGCAACTATCGCGAAATCCACGCCCCCTACGGCACCGTTGCCGACGTCGACGAGCTCAAGGATGCCTTGCACGCCCGCGGCATGAAGCTTGTCCTCGACCTCGTCGTCAACCACACCAGTGACCAGCACGAATGGTTCAAGCAGTCCCGCTCCTCCAAGACGAACCCTTACCGCGACTGGTACATCTGGCGCCCGGCAAAGTACGACGCCAACGGCAACCGCCAGCCTCCCAACAACTGGAAGTCGCACTTCCAAGGCAGTGCGTGGGAGTGGGACGAGACCACGGGAGAGTACTACCTGCGCCTGTTCGCGCGGGAGCAGCCCGATCTCAACTGGGAGAACCCCAAGGTCCGCGATGCGGTGCACGCCATCATGCGCTTCTGGCTGGACAAGGGCGCCGACGGGTTCCGCTTGGATGTCATCAACTTCGTGAGCAAGCCGCAGGACTTCCCGGACTCTGACCAGGAGGTGCTCCCCGGATCGGAGCTGTACTCTGCTGGGCCCAGATTGCACGAGTATCTGAAGGAGCTGGGTGCCATTCTGAAGGAGTACGATGCATTCAGCGTCGGCGAGATGCCTTGCGTCAGGGATCTGAAGGAGGTCATCAAGAGTGTCAACGCGGACCGGGAGGAGCTGAGCATGATTTTCCACTTTGAGTTGTGAGTAATCCTGTGGTTCTTTTCCTCTATTGAGCTGGTGTTAACGTGTGGCAGTATGGACATCGACCATGGTCCGCAGGGCAAGTTCTCTCCCAAGGAGTGGAAGCTCGCGGAGTTCAAGACTCTGGTCGACAAGTGGCAACGTTTCATGTACGACAACAATGGCTGGAACGCCCTTTACCTCGAGAATCACGACCAGCCTCGATCCGTCAGTCGTTTCGCGAGCGACGCGCCCGAGCATCGCGAGAACAGCGCCAAGATGATCTCCCTGCTTCAAGGCCTCCAAGCCGGAACGCCGTTCGTTTACCAGGGGCAGGAGATCGGCATGGTCAATGTGCCGCAGAACTTCTTCATGAAGGAGTCCAAGGACATTGACTGTCTGAATCACTGGAAGTGAGTGTCGCGATTCCCCTTTTTCGTCTGATTGTTTCGCAGCAAGGCTAACAGACTACAGCTTGCACAAGGACGTTGACGACGAAAAGACCCTCGAGGCCTACAAGGTCGAGTACCAGAAGAAGTCTCGCGACAACGCGAGAACACCAATGCAGTGGGACGCCAGCGCGAACGCCGGCTTCACGACCGCGGACGCCACGCCGTGGATGGCCGTCCACCCCAACCACAAGGAAATCAATGCCGCCTCGCAAACGTCCAACCCCGACTCTGTCTACCACACGTGGCGCCACGTGCTGGAGACTCGAAAGAAGTTCAAGGATATCTTTGTCTATGGCGACTTCAACCTTGTCGACGAGGCCCATGAGCAGGTCTTTGCGTACGCTCGCAAGGCCGACGACGGGTCAACCGCCCTGGTGGCCTGCAACTTTTCGCCCAAGCCTGTTGAGTGGACTGGCCTCCCTAGAGATGTTAAGGAAGTCTTGGTCACATATAACGGCAAGACCAAGGACGATTTTAGCAACGGAAAGGTAACGCTTGGCCCTTACGAGGGAGTAGCTGTGCTGCTGGCTTGAACATGAGACATGCCTGAAAGAAAATATAGTAGAATAGAAATATCATGAGCCATCTAAACCGTCATAAAAATGGAAGAGGTTATTTCTAATGATTGGTTTCTGTGTGACTGCCCGTTGGTTTTTCTTGATGAAAGAGTGGTGAGGGGAAAACTATAAGGAACAGGTACCTTGGATAGCAAACTGATATAAGCTGGATAAAATAGTCTTCTTGCCAAGCGCCAGTAGGATAACTTGCTAGAAAGTACACCAACAAGAGCCTTAGGAACATCTTCCTGAACGGCAATATGATCAAATCCAAAAATCACTGAAAGGCCTCCCAAGCAAAATTAACAGTCTGAAATGACAATGATCATAGCAAGTAATATCAATTCATCTCGGACCTATTGGCCCCATAAATAAAACGCTAACGCCAGTCATGATTCCCTGTCGTGTTCATCATTTTTCTACAGTCCCAAAGCCTCCCTTCTTCCGGTGCTGTTGAGGTCAAGATAGGGAGCCTCTCCCAGCGACGCCACACGGTCGCCCGCCCTGGCCTCGACGTAGTCGTACGTGGCGCAGTGCCACATGCTCCTGTTGTCCCAGATGGCGAGGTCGTTCTTGCGCCACTTGAAGCGGACCTGGGCGTCGTGGTTCTGGGTGACGAGGTTGAAGAGGTAGTTGAGGAGAATGTCGGACTCGTCCTTTGTGACGCCGTTGATGCGCTTGGTGAAGCCCTTGTTCACGTAGACGGACTTCCATCCGGTGACGGCTGTCACTTTTTGTCAGCAAAATCTAGACCATAGTCAACGGAGGATGATTACGACTTACGGTTGGTCCGGATGACGGGGTGGATGGACTTGAGGTCGCCGCCCTTGTTCAGCGGCGAGCCTCGGATGCCCTCACGGAGTGGGTTGCCGAGCCTTGTGGCCTCGTCGTGGAAGAAGGTGGCGTCGTGGGTGGCAGTCAGCCCTTCCAGGAACTTCTGCATGGCAGGGGAGAGTCTGTCGTAGATCTCATATCCAGAAGCCCACAGCTGCAGACGGTTTGTCAGCGACAAGGTCTCTCTCTCTCTCTCTCTTGCATGCAAGGGGTCCAGCGGAGACAGGGGGGGGGGAAGGATGCAGGTGTTTTCCCAACTTACAGTGTCACCGCCCGTCGTGGGCAGGGTGTGGATCTTGAGCATGGCGTAGTCCGAGGGGACTTGCTCGAAAGAGATGTCGGTGTGCCAGCCGGCGCTGGCGAATCGGCTGACATCGCTCAATTGGTGAGTGAGACCGCCGCCCTTCTTCTGCTTCTCGCTGCTGATGACGCTAATCTGGTCACCGAGCTCGCTACCCTCCTCCGTCAGGGGGTGGATGTGAAGACCTGATGATTCGGGCTGTTCTGCCGGGTTAGTCTGGCCCCCGTTTGATATGGAGACGGTGGTTCGTCGGATGGCGCGACTTACACATCCAGCAAGCTCTGTCAGGCGGAGGCAAAACTCCTTCATCTGAGTTGGGGTCACATCCTGGTCTCTGAGGAAGACGACGCCGCGTTGGGAGACTGGGAAATGATGCACTTGTGTTAGAAACGGTACGTTGACGGCAAACACACGGCTGGATTGCAAATTCTTTCTTACTGGTGACGGCCAAGTCCTTGATGACCTGGTCATCGGCCTTGAGGAGATCGACGACCTGGAGGCCCTCGTACTCCCGGCCAATGACAGGGGTGATGTCGGCGTTCTTGTAGTTATCAAGGGTGCCGGAGTAGACCAGAGGCTTGCTCAGGCGAGGGCGGGCCTGGGCGTTGCCGCCAACAATGTTGGCCTCGGTGTCGTTGGAGATGGCAGAGGGCATGTTGTTGGTGGTAGTGAATGAGAATCAGTATGTGAGAGCAACTCTGATGAGCAGTAGTTTACAAGGCTACCTCCGCTTAGAGCCGGCAGATGGTGAGTGTAGGTGAGGTAGATGTTGATGAGTCGTGGATCTATCCAAGCGAGATCTGATAAGCAAAGAGCCGAGAATTGCCAGATATATATGTGTTTGACAAAGTGTAGGGCCGAAGCAGCCGTGAGATTTTCTTCAAGTATCACAGTGAGGATGTATAATGTCTCAGAGCGAAACCGGGGGGGCCACTGCAGCAGTTGGCAGTCAAGTCAGTCATCGATGAGGAGAGGGAGAGAGAGAGGATCGATCGTCAGACGTTTTCTCCAACAGGATGGCCTCTCGTTGCACGGCGGCTCCCGGCTGGGTGGGCGATGGCGCAATCGCAAAGCTTCCTAATTTGGCGAAGGCTGTCTGGTGCAGCCAATCATGGGAGCGGGGTTCTTGTTCGGAGCCAAACGCCCCAGTTTTCCGTCATGGAGAATCTCTCGGAGAAAGCAATGGAGTTGTCTTCGTACTCTCTGCCGGGGCTCCTTGCCCATTCCATCACAAGCTTGCTGCATTGCCTCCCCCCTCCTTGATGAATGATTTCCCCCCAGCCCGTTCAGCAGCCCCGAGTCCCAGCTTTTCGTCGCTTGATTGTGCAGCTGACCTGCGATCAAAACGCTGCGGTTTCGAACGAAGCTGAACTACATGATACTGTTGACGGGCCAAGACAATGAGGGGTCCCCTAGCGCGCGGAAAAAAATCTGGAGAATCTGGGGAAAGTTGGAGACCCGGCTAAGCCATCCGGAACGGAGCCGGGTCCTGTCAAAAAGGCACTCCGAGATCCAGAAAAAAACACTAGAAAAAGTTGTCAACACCATCTTCTCCTGCCCCCGGTCCGACCACATGGTTCACCTCCACTAGTTTGTGGATATCATCGAAGACGCAAGACCGAGCTTCGATGTCGTGAGCCGTGATCTGCTAGCCTCAAACAGAGCCTCCAGAACGACTATTAAGTTGAAGCTTCAGAACATGCCATTTGCCCTTCCCGGGACCCTCTTTCTCCATCGTCGTCGCTTGCTCTCATTCCACAAAGCAGCCCGAACTCCTGGGAAGTTGAACGGTCCGCCCGCGTCTTTTCTGAACCGGTTCCCTCCCTGCGAGCGAACCTGACCCGGACCTCACTCACTACGCCCGCCCAGCCAAGACCCGTCAGTCAACATGGCCGACGTCGAGGCCACTCACGCCAACAAGACGGGCAGCGACAGCGGCAAGGACGCCGTCTCGGTCTACCAGGACTCTGACGTGCCCGCGGTCGGCCGCGAGAACCTTTCTAATCTCGTCCCGCCTCACGAGTCCTACGAGGGACGGCACCGATGGGACCCGACAGCGACTTGGACGGCGGCCGAGGAGAGGGCTGTTGTTCGCAAGACGGACCTGAAGCTCTTGACGTGGCTCTGCGTCATGTTTTTCGGCCTCCAGCTGGACCGTGGAAACCTGTCCAACGCGCTGGCCGATGATTTCCTCAAGGACATGAAGCTCAGCAGTGACGACTACAACAACGTGAGACTCAACGTGATGCTTTGCGTGGCTGTACAATTTGCTAATTCGCCAATTTCCAGGGAACCACGATCCAGCTCCTCGCATTCCTGTGCGCCGAGTTTCCCGTTCAATTCCTCACCAAGCGTTACGGCTTCAAGTATGTGTTGCCGACCATGATGATGATGTGGGGAACCGTCTCTTGGGCCCAGGCCTGGATGACGAACCGCGCTGGCTTTTACGTTACGAGAGCCCTCATTGGTATGCTCGAATACCTTATCAACCCCCCTTTTCTCGTCTTTTTTCATCTAACACAAGTCCAAGGTGCCTGCGAAGGAGGTTTTATCCCGGGAACTATCCTCTTTGCGACCTACTTCTACACGTCCAAGGAGCTCTCGGTGCGCCTGGCCGTGTTTTGGTCCACTCTCAACGTTGCGCGAGTCATCTCGGCCCTCCTCGCGGCTGGCATCCTCAAGATGCGTGGCATTGGGGGCCACCCAGGCTGGTTCTGGTTGTTCATGTTGGAAGGTCTCCTGACGTGCGTGCTGGCGACTGTCGTAAGTTGAACACCCCTCTGTTTGTTGGCGAAGAAGCGATAGCTAACCGGGGTTTGCTCAGTCTTTCCTCTGGCTCCCCCAGTCCCCCACAAACACGACCACGGTCATGTGGAGAAAACCCTGGTACACTGAGAGAGAGGAGGTCATCATGACCAACCGCATCCTCCGTGACGACCCCGCAAAGGGCCTCACTGCCCTCAAGGAGCCGGCAACGTTCAAGGACATCAAGAACGCCTGGCTGGATCCGTCCATGTGGGGTCTCTACTTCATCGGCCTCGTCGCCTACATTCCCGCCACCCCAGTGCAGGCGTATCTCACGCTTACGCTCCGCCGCATCGGCTTCACGACCTTTAACGCGAACATGCTCACGGTCCCGTCGGCCGTCCTGCAGATCTTCACCATGCTCGGCCTTGCATTCAGCAGCGACTACTTCAAGGAGCGGGCATTCCACTGCATCTTTGGCGAGGCGTGGATCATGCCCCTCCTCATCGGCCTGCTCACCCTGCCCGACGGCGGCCGCGACTGGGAGCGCTTCTCGATGGTCACGCTCATCTCTGGGTACCCCTACTTCCACCCGATCGTGTCTTCGTGGATTTCCGAGAACACGTTTGACGTGAAGAAGCGCGCCATCTCAGCCGCAACATACAACGTCATTGTCCAGATTGGCTCGCTCATTGGCTCGCAAATCTACCGCGCATACGACGCCCCCTACTACAAGCGCGGCAACACCGTCTGCGTGTCCATTTGCGCTCTGAGTCTTGTCGTTTTCCTGGTACACAGGCAAGTCCTGATCACCTTGAACAAGCGCAAGGAGCGGGTGTGGAGCACCATGTCGAACGAGGAGCGGCTGGCGTACCAGAACGATGCGGAAGCGCGCGAGAAGGACGGAAACAAGCGATTGGATTTCAGATTTGTTTATTAGGATCTGTGCAATTACTGCCCCATGCGACAGAGCGTTTAGTCGTTTTTCGGTGGAATACGGATACCCAAGTTGAATAATTAGGAGGTGGATAATCAAGCTATAATTGAAGATGACAGGGGCTTAGAGCTTGGCGGTTTGCATTGACAACTACCCTCGTCCGTAATATTTCCCTTTAAATGAACCAACGCGGCATACACATGTTAAAGAGACAACAACAATTGGCTGAGTTGGATCACATGTCAACGGTTGTGTGTTTTTCCATGGTGATTTTGTATGGAAGGTAATTAGCCAAGACTCTGCAGCGTTGTAAGGTCCTTCGGAGTGTGTTCCTAAAGTGAGGGTCTTCAAATCGAAATGCAGAGACGCTGATTGATCGATCAGTCCAGGGCAGGTGCGGTACGGTTCCCGCAGTGTCCAGACCAAACCGCTGGAAAAAAGGGCCGTTCGGTCGGCGGTCAACAGGCCGCAATTTGCGGGGAAATACAAAGCCAAGAGCGCTAAAGATCCCTAACGAATCCCCTCTGGTCCCAGCTGCAGGGGGCCTTCTCCACCATTACCACGCCGGGTTTAGTGCATCGAGCACACCATCGCCGAGGCCCCGCAGACGGCATCTCAAACAGCTCCAAACAGCACCTCTGTCTGCTCAGAGTCCCCAATTTTCCCTTCCCTCCTCCGAATCCAGAGCCCACCTGCCCTTCTCTTGCTGTCAAACTCACTGCTTGACAACAAGGGTTTCCGTACCATTCTGCTCGAGTTCATCCCACAAAAGTCGACTGGCGCAGAGACAGACTTGGGCAGACCGGAGCATAGCCGAAGTTTTCTCTTATCTTTCTTTTTTGAATATTTCTATTATCAACACCTGCCTGCTTTGTCATACCATCCTCCACCTCTTACATCACTAAGACCGAGAGAGAAAACACACCACATACAACGGTTGACACAATATCACACGCGTTGTGGGGGGGCGCCGGAAACACCAAAGTCTGGATTGGCTGGCAGTCTGCCATGCCACGGCACGAGTAGTCTTCAACGCTTCTCTTCCGTCTTCGCGACATGTCTACCGGGCGCAAGATTGGCAAGAGAGCTTGTGACGCGTGCAAGATCCGCAAGATCAAGTGCACCGAGGTCCCGCCCTGCCATGGCTGCGTCGCCATCGGAACTGCCTGCACCTTCAACAAGGTCCCTGCAACCCGGGGGCCCCGGAACCTGAGAGCGAAGACAATCCGGCAGATTGCGCAGGCCCAACAACAAGAGAGTTCCGGCACCGGTCCCGGCCCTGCCCCGGCCTCCGCCGGTGATGGGACTGGCAGCACCTCGCCTACCGGCGCGCCGCCGACGGGCACCTCGCTCTCACGGTCCCCGTCTTCGTCCGAGGAAGGCTCGTCTGACGGAGGAGGCTCCACTGGAAGCCAGAGAGTTGTCCGGCAAGAGGCTGCTGTTGCTGCTGCTGTCCAACCCCCGAGGACCCCGATCCCGTCACTGGTACTGAGATTATGTGTTTACCGCCTGCGACTTTTCCCAGTATGGCCCATCATCGCCGTTGAGGAGATAATGGCCTCGCTCCACCGTGATGCCGATGATTTGGAGTCATACGTCTTGGCCAACGCCGTTGGGGCTGCCACGATATCACAGCTCAAGCTGTCGACGACAGACAGCAACGATCCCGCGACGGCGGGGTCCATGGAGGCGGAATGCCAGCGTTCGCGGATGGCGCTGCAGGAACGGGAGGGCGGCCCACCCATGAACCTCAATTGGTTGAGAACGTCCTTCTTCCTTCATGTCTATCACGAAAACCAGCAGCCGGGTGGGGCCAAGTCCCTTCTTTACCTGCGGGAGGCCATCACTCTTGCCCAGATCATGGGGCTGCACAAGGAATCATCGTACACGAGTCTCCCTCTTTCGGAGCAGCAGATGAGGCGGAGGATATTGTGGTTGCTGTTCGTCACGGAAAGGTACCGCCGTTCCCTGAGTGATTGAAAAAAACGTGAGCTTGGTGCGTCTAACACACTTTTCAGGGGCGTAGCAATGCTTCACAAGCTGCCGGTCGTGCTCAAGTCCAACATACGCTTTCCCTCTCTGGATGGGTCTGGCGTGGGAGAGGACGAGGGACACATCCTGCCGGCTTTCAAGAAGCTCGCCAACTTGTTCTGGATATTTGACCAGAGCGGCGCCTTTGACATTCTTCAAAACTCGGACGAGGAAGATGCAATCTGGTCCATGGCGGATGGCTTGCAGACGGCTAGCAGAGCCTGCTTGGACGTCGTTCAAAGGAAGCTCCAGGAAATACCCCTGGATGCCGACGCCAGCAGCGATGTCCAGCGCGCCGATATTGCCGTCACGCGCCAGTGGATGCAAGCGGTGTTGTGGAAGGTTACCATGAATCATGGTCGAGCTTGGTCGTCCTCTTCGAACCAGAACGTGACCTCCCTCTCGCATCCCATCCAGATCGCAAAGGAGTTCCTTCAACTTATTTCACAGCTGCCAAGCACGGCCATCGAAGCCCATGGCCCTGGAATCGTAGGATTATAACATGCTGCTTCTGCTCGCCAAAGCGTCTTTGCTGACTTTTTGAAATAGGAGTTCAAGATTTATGAGATCGCCAGCGCAGTAACCGATGCCGTCGCAAACAATTTTCGGCTTCCGCGGGCTTCGACCGACGGTCCAAGAGACATTCTTTTACAACTCCAAAGGGTGCTAGCCTCCTGCCGAGGAGGCAACAAGGCCCTACTGGAGATGCTCTGCGCCCGCATCGCCGAGGTCCAAGACGGCCCCCTGATGATCATGAACAGGAATCTGTCACCCAGAGTCCAGGAAGTGGACGACGAGCAATGGCGCGAGGAGCGCAGCGCAGGATCCAACGGTTCGCCGTCCATGTTCAACCCGATCGACGGCGTATCAGACGCCGCCGCCGCTTCCGCCTATGCCCAAGCCCAGGCGCAAGCAAGCTTCATGGCCATGCTCGACAAAGACAACCCTATCCAAGGGCTGGGCAACGGCACCACGCCTGACCCGATGTCGCCCCAGCGGCAGAACATGGAGCGGGCCAACATGTGGGATCAGTCTGCGCAGCTGGGCCCCGGGGCGCACGATCTCATTGGCCAGTTGCAGAACTTTGACGGCTCTTTCAACACGGTCGAGTCCAACGGCACCCTGGACATGCTCTTTGCCAACGGAGCATTATGGGACAATGTCGCGAGCGATGACTGGATGACGTCGGTGCAGAATAATACTGGCGTGTTCGCCAGTCCGACGCAAGCGACCAATTTCAAGAGGCCATACGAGTAGTGTATTGGCGGTGTCGATAGCTACATGACGAGCCTTACTTAGGTGCTCCTGTGCTTCTACGCTATACGCGATGTACAGCGGCAGGGCGAGCAAAGTCGGGATACGACTCTCAATGCCACTTTGCTAGAAGCGAGCATGGCTTTGGGGCCGAGCCGAGTTTGAATCCGCAGCATCATTCTGGTAAGCCGCAAGCTGTTTCTCAAGAAGCCAGTTTCATCAGCTTTTACAGGACATATGCCGGTAAGTATCATCGTCATCGCCCACCACTGTCTTGTCATTCTTTTCTAGCTGTTTCTTCAGTGCCTAAATCATATGCACCCGCCAGCTAATCGGTCATGGCAGACCTCGCTTTAGCGAGTATTTCAAGATCAGTGTTATTCCATATACCCACTATATACCTCACGAAGAATCTGAACATCACTTTTCCCACGTATCGAATGCGATTGGGAGCCTTATGAAGCTGCTTGAAATTTTCATGATATCTGTATTCATGCTGTGCTATTCGCGAGTCCCTCGCTGTGAAAATGCTATCCGCAGGACAAGTCTGTCTCTGAAGCGTAAAATCATACCTATGCAACCTTTTAACCCATGCCAATTCTCAATACGTATCCCTTTCGTCGTCGCTAACTTGGTCGACCGTGTCCCCGATATCTTCATTTATCATGTCGCCGATCTCCTTGCTGTCCTCGAGTATCTTTCTTGCTTCCGTGGGTTCCACATTCATATCCTCGCATATTAATTTCACGGCCAACTCAGGGACCAAGACTGCTTCCACATAACTAGAATATCCGCGTGAAGATATAAGCCGGTCATCGATGGCCCGCTCTCTGAGAATGGATGAGAAACGTGCAATAATGTCTTCCGACAACGCTCGCAGGCCGCGTGGGCCGTAGTATCCGGGTGTCAAGCTGCCTTCGGCTTTCAACAGTGTGCGGTTCTTGCCCTCTTTGACCGTGTCAATCAAACGGTCCCCATAGTGAGACCGCCCCCCCTTAATGATTTCCTCCAGGAAGTCGTAGTGGTCTGAGAGGCGGCAGCCGAGCTCCACCCAATCAATATCCGGGTAGCCGCGTGTTTTCCAGGCATCTTCGGCCGACTTCTTTTTGTGCTGCCGGCAGAACTGAAGCTGCCTGTGGATACGCAGGCGGGCTCCGTTTGAGAAGGCATCCAGGAAGTTCTTGTCGACAGGATCACCGCACATGGGGCAGCGTGTTACTGTCTCTAACGGCTGTGAATAAGATGGGCTCTCATCCTCATCGTCGTCAAGATCAGAGTCTGGCAGTTCTGCGAACGGATCTTTGAGCATCTTCGGAGCAGTCTCGAGGCTTGGTACCAAATCACGCAGGCGTGCCGGTGCTGTACCAGAACTCGGCAGCGGCTCAGGCAATGAAGCAGAAGGATCCTTGAACTCGGCCTTGATCTTACGCTGAGGCGAGCTGATGGGGCTGAGGGACGAATGCGCCACGAACGTTTTCCGAGGACTGCCAGGCGGCGACGAAAGAAACGATGCCCCGGGGTTAACGAGGCTTTTCGGTGATTTCTTGGCGTCGAACTTCTCAAATGGATCATCGTCGTATGACTTGAACGAGGGCATCTTTACCTCCGGTGCTGGTTGGCGAGCTGGGACAAGGATCAGCAGTGACGACAGGTCGCGATGGCGCTACACGAACCTTTCTTGGCCTCCTCCTTCTCCCTCTTCTTCTCCTTCTTCTTCTCCTCCATTCTCCTTAGCTTCTCCATTTCTTTCTTATCTTTCTTTCCGTATCCCTTGCGTTGGCTTGAATTTTGGCTGAGCTTTATAAGTTTGGCAGTGTCTTTACCGTCGTCAACCCTCCCAGTCCGGCCTCTCTTAGACTCCGGACCTGGAGAGGCGGTATCTGGGGAACTTCTCTTGCTGCCTCGCGGTTGAGAATTGGAGCCTTGGGAGCCACCAAAGAGCTTCGGCCCTGAGCCGGTCTCTTGAGAGGCGCGGAAGTTTCTTTCTTGCTCTCGCCCAGATTTTGACGTCCCGAAGTATGTCTGTCTTACATCGATTTTTTCTTTACGAGCAGCGTAGTCTGCGTCTGAATCAGGATCGTCCGTGGGCTTCGGGACAACCTTGGGATATTTCCCCTCTGAACTTGATCTCTCTTCCTGGGTGTCCCCCGGGACCTCGTCCTCGCTTTCTGATGGCATATCCGGCTCACTGACCTCATCTGAGTCATCTTGCGGCAGTTCGCAGACTTGGGCTTCCGTCATTTCGGCAGCCGGCATGACGACTTTCGCAGGTTTCACATTTTCGCGACTTTTGTTGTTGACAGTCTTCAGCAAACCGGGAGTCCGAGGATCTCTGGGGAGGCCGCTCCGCCTTCTAGGCGGCGGAAAATGTGACATTTCCAGCAAAGAGCCCCCCAGGACTCAAGATGGCATAGGAGTCCAAGAATGATGACTCGTGGTCAGCCCCAGGGCGAGCTCTTCGAGAGCTAAGACGGGTAAGAACAGCAAGATGGCGGCTCCTTCCCGTCCGAAATTGACCGTCTGCTTCGGGCGGTTGCTGGCCAGGAAAATCAGGGAGGCAAATGTCCCAGACGCCTAGGGCTGGAATACGTGATGAGAGTCAGTTATCACATCAATTAGTTGTCTGACCGGGGTGTGATCTGAGTCCAGCGTTGTGAAGTTCAAAGAGACGTTGAATGACGGCCGAGGACCCAAAAAAAGAGTGATGCCTTTTGGGGTCAAGTGTTGCTCCCTCATGAAAAAGCTGAAGTCGCGTCCTTGACGCGTGCCTGCCGGGGCGCCGATGTACCCCACCTGCCACTTTCACCTTACGCCTCCGTGCATTAGGTACGGGGAGTTTTAGTGGAATTCCCCTGCGGCTCAGCGGTGCAGCTTCCCCTTCTCGCGCAGGGGTGCTCTGCTGCTTTCAACGACTTCATCTGCGTCGTGCATCATAGCTGTCAACAAACGCCAGAGCTGCCTGATCGACTTTCCGACCAGACTTGGCCGACGCGCCCCAACCTGTGATCTTGACTGTCAATCCTCACTCAAGCCCAAACCCCCAACTTTCGACATGGCGCTGAACCGCAAGTACGCAGCGTTGCCAGATCTGGTCAGAGCACCTGAAGACCCAAACGGCAGGACGAAAGGCGGTTTATGCTAACACCGCCCAGGACTCAGCACCAGATGTTTACGAGACCCCAGAATTGACAGACGACACTTCCACGGTCCCAGTGCGTCCGCCCGTTCTTCCAAGATGACTTGTGGCTGATGTGGTGGTAGACAACAACGGTGCAATCGCATTCCGACAACGAATTCGACGACGACCTTGACGACGATATAAACGGCATTTCCCGGTCACGACTTCGCATAGACCAAGCGAGGTCTCGTTTCCTGCCTGCCGGCGTCGACGCAACCGGTGTTGACTTCTCAGACCGAGTCGATGGCAAGCGCAAGTCCTACAAGGCCTCGACCAGGCGCCAGCGCTTTCTGCAAGACGGCACCGAGGAAATTGGCGATCTCAGCGACGAAGATGACGAGGATAACCTAGAGAGAAAGATTGCGCGCCTGCAACGCGAGGTTGAAGAGGCTAGGGAGGAGTATGGCAAACGAAGGGAGGCCGCCGCCCAAGCCGGCGGGGCTGACCAGGAGGAGAAGCTTGGCTCTCTTAGCAAGGTTCTCGACGAGATTTCCAAGACCATTGAGCCTCACACCAAGAGCACAGGTGTCGCGCAACCTGCGCCGCAAGCGCCCAAGGAATTGCAAGCGGGATCGCAGGATGCATTGGCAGCGGGAAGTGCAGCAACCTACACTGTCACATATGCTCCCACATACGAACAGAGTCACGCTCTCGCCAAAGCCGCGGACTTTGATCGCCGTCTTGTTCTGTTGGAGAAGGCTATTGGAGTTGGCTCTTCGGCCCTGCCAGAGGTCGACATCAACGGCTTGCCCAGGGCAATTCTGCCAACTCTTGATGGCCTGCAGAAGCAGATTACTACTTTGTCACAAGCGTCAACGTCCAATCTGGACACAATCAGTCGTCGCGTGCGTACTCTCATTCAGGAGGCACAGGAACTAGAGAAGGCCCGTCAAGGGGCTAAGTCTGCACAAGAGACGCTGGGTAATGGCGGTACGCCTAGTGAAGAGGCGCAGGCACCGGAGCAGGTGGCCAAGATCAACGCACTTTATGGGACTCTGCCAACGATTGAGAGCCTGGCTCCTCTGCTGCCGCCGCTATTGGATCGTCTTAGATCCCTTCGGGCTATCCACTCCGATGCTGCGACGGCAAGCGAGATGCTTGAACGAATTGAGAGACAGCAGACCGATATGGCTACTGATCTCAAGCAGTGGAAGGAAGGATTGGAGAAGGTTGAGGAAGCTATGAAGGAAGGCAGCACGTCCATGGCGGGCAACATGAAGGTAATGGAGGCCTGGGTTAAGGACTTGGAGGGGCGCGTTGCAAAGTTGTAATGACAGGCCCAGCGCCGTCAGAAGATACCCCTGCTTTAATCCATATTTAGTCGAGCTGCGCATATTAGAAAGCCATCTTGGAGAAGCAATGAAGAGATGGATCGGGGATAGTATGATGGAACAGCACTCGATAAGCCGCATCGTGAATTTCACTTGTGTTTCTCGTGCACTGGCAAGGCTCTGATTGAAGACAAATCGCGACCTGCTACTATGTATGTCACTTGGGGATATGCCAGCCTCCATGTTCCTAATGTAGCAACCCCTGCAGAATCGACTCAGGAGGAAGGCGGTGTGAGCCAAGACCGTTCCCCACCAACCAATCAGCACCGGCCAACGCTCTGGCACTGTCCACAAGCGAAAGGGCTGGAAAACCCTCCAGACCACGAAAAAAGTTCGCAGCCATCTTCAGTACACGCTCAATCCATTCAGCACCCGCGATCCGCCCAGTCACCACCGAACCTGCGCAAACACACAAAGTACGTCCGCCAACGCCAACGACACCGCCGAAACGCTCTCGAATATCGCGACTGACGTAATATTTTTCTTGCAGTCAAAATGGATTCTACCAAGCAGCCCGTCAAGCTCGTCAAGGTCACCCGTGTCCTTGGCCGCACCGGTACGCCCAGCTCCCGAATCGATGCGCTCCCCCGTCCGAATTCGAACTTCGCGATGCGCCGATGAAAAGACAAATTATGGCAGTTTTTTTTCTGACAGATATCAGGTTCCCGTGGTGGTGTCACCCAGGTCCGCGTCGAGTTCATGGACGACCAGACCCGTTCCATCATCCGTAACGTCAAGGGACCCGGTAAGAGGAAACTGCCCCCGCATCGACCGCCGAGAAGCGAACAACATGCGAGAAAGGAGACAGGAACTTGTTGCTAACGATTGGGCATCTAGTCCGTGAGGACGACATTCTCTGCTTGCTCGAGTCTGAGCGTGAGGCCCGCAGACTGAGATAAAAAGGCGGCGACGATCGGCGGCGGCGCGTGAATGGACATTACGAGGAACGGATCTTGGTTCTGAGGATGGGACAGGAACATTGCAAGGGCTTCGTCACCCGAGCTCGGGCTCACGGCTTTCGTGTTTAGAGGAGTCAAAAACGGATTCTGCATTACGAATACAGCAAGGTTCTCCCACCAGCCGCGAGGCGCTCTGCTCGGTCGACCGTGTGTGCCTACCTATGATGCGGCTGCAAACGCGCGAGGGGTCGGTGAAGCTTGAGTCACTCTTTGGGATAGCTGGGGACAAGGGTCACCTTCTGTGCCGACATGGCATTCTAGCAGAGTTATGAGTACACTGATAATGACACGAACAGCGCAACAGCCGCGTACCGCAAAAATCCCGAAGGACTTCTCAAAACGTGCAATTACGCCTGCTGTCATCTTCGATGGTCTGCCCCGCCAAACGGAATCTGTCGCCGACCGCAGTGCGGCTCCGGTCACGTGGCACGGGGGTACAATTTTTCTGCAGATGCCCCACTTCAGCTTCCTCGCAGCTATTTCTTCTTTCCATCTCCCTCCAATCTCAACTTCTGTTCTCTTCCCTCCTCAGCCCGCGACACGGGTTCATCGCTGATCGGTAAGTCGACTTTTTCTTGCAAATGTCGTCACATTGGAATGATGCAACAAAATTAGCATGTATTACCTGAACTCCATTGATGTTCTACCATTATCACCAAGATCTCTGACACCAATCATTATCCTCACCCTTTTTGTGCTCTCTCAAGCAAATGGGCCAAGGCTAACATGGAAAAAAAGACCCTAGATACTCCCAGACAGCAGCGACACCATGAGCGCGGCGACAACGCCACCCAAGGACCACTTCAATGTGTTGTTCTTCGCCAGTGCCAGCTCCTTCACGTCAAAACAGTATGAGGCTTTCCCCGCTCCACTGCCACTGAAGAAGCTTTTCGACATTCTCGAAGAGAGATACTGTGGGATCAAAGGAAAGGTTTTGGAGTCGTGTTTGGTCACGGTGAACTTGGAGTACGTCGACATTCCCGGACCAGAAGATGGGGGTGGGCCAGACATCCAGGCTGGAGATGAAGTAGCCATCATCCCGCCCGTCAGCTCCGGCTGAAATTGTGCGCGGTGGTTGAATGAATTGTAGAATGGCGCTCGGCGACGATTTGAATCCAGTTCATCCATGGTTCAATTCTCCCAAGTTGCTACGGGTACAGACAGCACCACATTTGGTGGTGCTCACCCTCAAGGGCCTTGATTTGACCTCGTACTGTAATCTTGCCCAAGTAAAGGGTCTTGCTCCCCGGTGTCCTGTCGCCGCGTTACGATACGCCTCCAGTCGTATTGCCAAACCCTCCACCATCCGGGTTCCTTTACGCTCCGACGCCTCGCCCAGCGAATCGTGACGAACATGAGTGTTACCAACAAGACCACGACCAGCGTGGACACTATCGAGATGATGGACGTTAGGCTGGTGATGGTTGAGACCTGGCAACCAAGTGGTCTTGTCCGAAGCTCCCATCGCTCCGCCCAATGTGGGCAAACGTCCTCATTCCATGCGGGCGCAAGCAAAGGGATTGCATAAGGATTCGGGACACATGCGGACGTCTGACCGGTGTTCATGATAAGCGATCGTCCTTGGAGAGATGTGATGAGATGGAGGAAACCAACCATTGGGCACCAACTGCAGCGGTCCTCCGCAAGGCAGCCCTTGCAGTCCTGGTGTTGCCAACACCGGAAGAAATGCTCATCTGTGGCTTCTTTGGCCGTGAAGTTCTGCCTGGCCAGCATGATCTCCAAGTCAGTGGGCCTATGAGCACTAAGCCTGCGGTCGCTCATTTTCGCTGTCGTGCCAAAATATCACGAATAATGCAGCAATAAACTGAAGACCCGGAATACAGCTGGGGAAGTGAGTTTGGTGAACATGCGACTGTGAGTGCTGCGTCGGATGAGCTGGGGTTCGTGCGGGGAAACAACTGGCGAATTGGAGTCCGTGCGTCGACCAACCGAACTCCAAACCACCAGACTCTTGTCAGTCTGCCTTCAGACAAACCTCTGTTTGCAGTGGCCCCCATCAACTTTGATGGGATTTCAAATGACATGCTTCGGAATCCGGAACAGCTGCATCCTTCACACATGCAGAAGGCGCCAGGAACATCTTTTGCTTGATGCTACAACGGCGGCAAGGCGGCCAGACACATTCCGATGATCATCACAATTGTCAGCCATCATCACGCCCAGTCAAAGCCGCACCGGCACGGCAGCGGCCCACCCCAAGACATGCAGGTACGGCCATTGGCTCGCGTTCCAGATGTCATTCCATTCCTGGAACTGTTGCCCACCAAGAAACGCCGTGTGCGGGAGGCAATATAAGCAATTGGTCCCAAGATCACGGATTCGGCGATCTGCCAGCACACTCTCGGCCCTTCGCGGAATCCTCTGAAGCGGCGACATGCCGGCAATATATGGATAAATAACCCCTGGTCGGAGGCAGCAGCCGCAACTCAACGACGTCTCGAGATTTGCGCGTTTCACAGAAATGGCACATGCAATGCGCGCAGCAGATCGGTCCTTCCGCTGGTCTCTGAGAAGCCGGACGGGCCTGAGAGCCGTCGTTCGTTGCTGATTGCTATTTGGGTCTGATGACCTGACATCCCGTCAGCAATGGAAGCTGGTTGACCCAAGACGAAGAGTGCCGCTACCCGAGATGTCGAAGACGGCCCCGGATCCGTCCGTCTGGGGCATCATTCTCGGGCCATCCCCCGTGTCGGCTGACCAGAGGAATCCTGGACCGCAATGATCGGACCTTATGGAAGCCAGTGTTTCTCACACGGAGCATGAACTCGACATCTAACCATGACCAGAATCTGGTAGTCAGCTGTGTTGGTTCACACTCCCAAGACGGCTCTGCAATTCGATATCTTGACACTGCGCGATCTCCGATACAGGGAAAGCCACTACCGGGTTGTCATTTTAGCCTAAATCAGGCTAAATGGCAAAATACGCCAAATGTCATGGGTGGCGCAGGTGAGAGTCGTGGTACCCTGGATGTAAACATCCATGTGCGGCGGCGGCGCATGGTTTTCTCCAACTTCACGCCTCCAACCTCTCTGTGCCTAACCTCAACCCGGCACAAATACCACCGTCTTGATGGAGCTCCACGAAATGCTCCCCACGTCTGTTATTGTGGGTTCAATACCATTCGAACAGCAGATTCGAGCCGATGGGCAGGCGAGCTGCTGGACGAGTGTCGTGCGGTTGTCGACGGCACTGGCCAGTCTGGCACTGGGAGTCTCCACCAACAGTGTGCCCACGCGCCGACTAACGACCACGTGAACGCTTTCTTCGAAACACGATACCTATTGACGCACATCGAACCCAGTGGAGAGTATGTTGAGGGATTTCGTATCAGGCTTTGCTACGACTTTGCGCAAGTCACAGCACGGGATGGTATGCAGAGTCGGGCTGGTCCGCGACTTCATGGATCGACTGACAATCTCAGTGGTGACGAGCGTGCTGTAGCCACCACTCCACACATCCACGCATCCACACGCCTAATCCACCCATTTTCGACCATGGGGATTTGGGGAATGCGGGTCAACCTCAGTAAGCCCTGCAAGAAGCCAGCGAGAGTCGGCCGAGGGAGTTACGAGGCCTGGTAACCGAGTCTTTGTCGCCACGGTTGCTCAGCTCACTCTCTGGTGCTTACCACAGCATACTACCACAATCTGCGATATGACACGGGCTACTGGGCCTTCATACGATACGAACTTGAGCGCGTGCCGTATTCGAGAAGCCTTCGGCACGAAATTGTTGCCCGGCACTCTGCAGATATTGTTCCTGTGTAGGCGTGCTAAAAGGCATCAGGCTATTAGTACGGGGGAATACTTTACCGAGGGAACTTTCCTTGAGCAGGGGTCTCCTCGACACAAAGTAGCATCAGCGGTACGGACATGTTTTCACTTTCGGCCTACCAACTTTCAGCACGCTGCTAAAGTACGGTACACGAGATGAGCACTAAACTGCTGTAGAATTGCCAATGATTATGCATTCGCTCACCTCGATATCACACCTCTACTCACACGGGCCAAAAGAACGTCTTCGGCGCAAACCGTCAGGGAAGACGCAAATGATCGAGGACCTGGATTCTGTCGGATGTGTATTTTATCACATCTCCCAGAGAAGGCAGCAGCAACGGTGAAAAGACGAAATGGGGAAACACATCCAATATGAGTCACGGGGGGTGATGCCAGATTTCTTCTCGAGTCACCATTGTCGGTCGATGCACAAATGGTCTAGTGGCCTACCGTCCCTCGGCGTTATGTTCCCCGCAGCGGTCAACCAGTTGCTAGTCAACCCCAAACTCGCCTAATTTTACGATTCCTATCCTTCCCGTCTTTTACCTCCCGCTTTACAAGGCGTTTACCGGGGTATCTCTGGGGCACGGAGCCGGCGACATAGTCTTCGAAGTCTTTCGTCCGGATATTCAACCGTCAATGTCAATGGTACAAGACTGCCGAATGAAGCGGCATGTTTTCGGACGGCTACAAGTCCAATGACCGTCCAGCCTAAGGGCAAACCGTCTGCTCTCGGGAACAACGAACAAGCCAACGGGCGAGACCGTCACAACCTCCACCGGGACGACACTTCCTTGTCGCCTCCACTTCGAATGGTCTTCTCCACGGGACCCCAAGGGGAACGTTCAGCAAGTGGAACGCGCACACCTTTTTTCCATCTAGTCTTGTCCTTGTCTAGTGGACGCCAGTGTCCACTCCAACACGCCCGGCAAAATGCAACTGCAAAACTTTGGGGGCACTGGTGTCCCATTCGCATTCACCCGTTCGGACGGCCCCAAGTTTTTGGAGAAGGCGTTTCCTCCAGCACGGGAACAATGTCTTGACTAGCATTTTGCGCAATGCGGAGGGTCTCACTTGGCAAGGAAGCTTTGCCTTGAAACGTCCTCTTATCGACTTTTGCCGGATGAAAGTGGCAATCCCCTGCCGCCGCTCACATCGGTCTCCCACCCCCGGTTAACATGGGCTAGTACCTTGGCTGCAGGCTGCTCGTGCTCGAGGAGATTCTCGAGTAGCTTGATCATGACAGCTGATTGGGGGCGGTCGAGGTCCGACTAGGCCTTCGAGCAAAGGATCCCGATCAAGTGGTTCCCGCCTGACGCCCCAATGAAGGCCATCTAGAGACCTGGGACCCTGTTGCGGACCGACACTCCGTAAGAAGAGCTCGCACTGTAGCAGCCAGGCTTTCTTCACCTCCCTATGTTCGTCTTATGATCCCCGGATCCATATATTAGACCTGGAGACCCCGCGTCGTAGATCGTCTCACCTCCGTTCGCTGTCCCTCTCCAGTCATCCCCAGGCCCAACACAACGGAGACTGCTCTGGTTCTTGGTCTCCGCGCCGGCAGAAACGCGCAACAAACACAAAAACACCACACAATTTCAACTCGACGCCTTTGAGCCATTGTCACAATGGGGTTCTTCAAGGGTCTCACGCAAAAAAAGCCCAAGAGCGAGGCTGTCGTTCAGGCTCAGGAAGAGGCACCCGACTTTGAGAAGGTCAACTGGATGAAAGACCCTGGTCTGCGCAAGCTGTACTTCTACGCCTTCGTGCTCTGCGTTGCCTCAGCCACCACCGGTTACGATGGGTACGTCTCGTCGACACCCACGTCCTCCAAGCGACTTGCTAATACTTTTTCAATGCAGAATGTTCTTCAACTCCGTCCAGAACTTTGACTCATGGCAGGAGTTCTTTAGCCACCCCAAGGGTGGCGAGCTTGGTCTTCTTGCTGCTCTTTACCAAATCGGCAGTTTGGCTTCCATGCCCGCAGTGTAAGCTCTTCGGCGCACCGGCGGCCTCGATTTACATACTGATCGAAAGAAAAGCCCCATTATCGCAGACAGATTCGGCCGCAAGATCCCCATTGTGATTGGATGCATCATCATGGTCGCTGGAGCTGCTCTCCAGGGCGCTTGCCAGAACATGGGCAGTGAGTATGCACGAAAGCCGCGCCCCGACACAATAGCTGACCTTTCCAAGTGTTCATGGGTGGTCGTGCCCTCCTTGGTTTCGGTAACTCATTCGCCCAGATCGCGTCGCCCATGTTGCTCGCCGAACTTTGCCATCCTCAACATCGCGCCAGACTCACGACTGTCTACAACTGTCTCTGGAACGTCGGAGCTCTGATCGTCGCCTGGCTGTCTTTCGGTACCGAGTTTCTCGGCAATGAATGGTCATGGCGCATCCCGGCTCTTGGCCAGGCTGTTCCCTCCGTCGTCCAGCTCATCTTCATCCTCTGTAGGTCGAACCAAGTGACCGATAGTCTCATCCATAGCTAACGCGAACAAAGGGGTTCCCGAGTCTCCCAGATTCCTCATTTCCAGGGACCGCCACGATGAGGCCTTGCAGATCCTCGGCAAGTACCACGCCAATGGTAACACCGAGCACCCCACGGTCCAGTTCGAGTTCCGCGAGATTCGCGACACCATCAAGCGCGAAATGGCCGCCAAGGAGAGCAGCAGCTACCTTGACTTCCTGCGCACCGCCGGTAATAAGTACCGTCTCATGGTCTTGATCTCTCTCGGTCTGTTCTCGCAATGGTCCGGCAATGCCATCATTTCCAACTACGTAAGTTTTCGTGACGATAAAAGTCCTTGTTTCCCGTTGCCGAGCCTTGATGACTAACTCTTGTCCCCTAGACCTCTATCCTCTACGGCAACGCTGGTATCGAGAGCGCCACGGCTAAGCTCGGTCTCTCCGCTGGCCAGACCGGTCTCTCTCTGATCGTCTCCATCACCCTGGCCCTGCAGGTCGACAAGTTCGGTCGCCGTCCCATCTTCCTCGCCTCGACCGGCGGTATGTTCATGACATTCGTCTTCTGGACTCTCTGCTCCGGTCTGTACGAGGAGCACGGCTCCCCCGGTTCCAACTACGCCATGATCTTCTTCATCTGGCTCTTCGGCTTCTTCTACGCCTTCGCCTGGTCCGGTCTCCTCATCGGTTACTCCATCGAGATCCTGCCCTACAAGCTGCGTGCCAAGGGTCTCATGCTCGTCAACCTCGTCGTCCAGGCTGCCCTCACCCTCAACAACTACGCCAACCCCGTTGCCTTTGACCACTTTGAAGGCCACACCTGGAAGCTGTACCTCATCTACACTGTGAGTCACCGCCCTGCAACGTGCAACCTCCCGAAGAGAAGAAACTTGACTAACACCGTTTCCCACAGTGCTGGATCTTCCTCGAGCTCACCTTCGTCTACCTCTTCTACGTCGAGACTAAGGGCCCCACCCTCGAGGAACTCGTCAAGGTCATCGACGGCCCCGACGCCGAGGTCGCGGACCTCGACCTTGCCCAGGTCGAGCAGGAGGTCAAGATCGGCCACGAGGCCGAGGAGTTTGAGCACAAGCGCGGTTAGAATATGTGCGAAGTCTTGTTTGGGCCCTGACCCACCATTTCGGAGCATCCTGTTTAGATGGAAGAGCATATATGAGCATGCAGATACCCCCCCTCTACGATAAATGTTCAGAGTCATGCGACACACACATATAATTACGACATAATACAGAGAAAGAATTCTCGTCTAAAGAACTTTCTGTGGCACACTGTTTCTCCAGGCATCTATCTTTTCTTAGAGAATCAACTTACCAACCAGCCAAAACGGAAGAAAAAGTCAAAACAAGCATCTCTGGGCGTATTTATGCCGCGTCGCCAAGGCGCTGAGAACGCAGCTCATCCCAGCCTCATTCCTAGGCGCCAACCCTGCGTGTGGGCTTTCATACACTCTTCAATTGGTCATGATGCTCCAAGTCGGTCATCCAAGATCACGCCATGCTGCTGTTGTGGCGACAAGGTCAAAACAGAACGTCGTTCCAACCGACGTCACTGACGATGTTTTGCACCTTAGTGCACCGTGTTCTGTGCTATAAGTGAACCTGCAGGAAGTTTCCTTTCTTTATTAATGCTGCTATGGAATACAGACAACATCACTCGCGAAACACAAAGACTCCATGTAAGACGACAGCTGGATTTTAGGACTGACAGCTCAGAAACTACAGGTATTATGCCTCTTAATCAGTCTAAGTAAGGCGTCCCTTGGCTTAGCACTTGGGTGCTATCAATATTTTCTTCATTTCAGTTCACTGAGCTCTTGCCTCTCTGGCAGCTTTCGATTGCCGGATTTGTGCCTGGAGCTTCCTCGATTCTGTCCTCCGGATTCTAGAACGCTCACGTTTGGGGTCGGCCTCATCCTCCTCGGCAAGTGTCTCGAATGCTCTCAGGTCAGCCAAGAATCGTCGGATACGGACGCCCGTCTTCTGTCTGATCCACGCGTCCACCTCCTCGTCGCAGGCCGCAGATATTGCAATGTTTAGGCCTCGCAAGACATCTCGATCATCGATAGCTCGGTCATCACGCTCCGTGGAGAGTGAGGAGTGAGTGCTTATGGAGCTTTCTGTGTTCTTTTTGGGCAGTTTCTTGGCTGTAGGGGCGTTTTCCTTATCGGCGGGGTGGGAGAAAAGTTCTCTAACTGTTTTTGTCAGGTCGATAGCTTCGGGCTGCTTTTTCTCCATTAACACAGGTTGGTTGTTCCCTGCAGTCTGGGTGTCTTCGGTGTCCTTTTCCTCCATTTCTCGAGATGCTTGTTCTATCGCCTCTTCAAGTGATGATGGATTACTCAGGGTCAGCTTCCACGTTGAAGGAAGGTCAAGCTTTGGCGACAAGGTCCCCAGGCTGGTGGCTGCGGATCGCTCTTGGGGCTGCTGCTCTGTGAGTTTTGGCGGTTCTTGCAAGCTCTGAAACATTCTTCCAGAATGGAAAATCCCTGGGTGCTCGACTTGAACTTGCTGGTTCTGTCGGGCTGCTTTTTCTTTGGCCTTCCTCTCTGGCTGGTTGACAGAGATCCTCGTCGGCTCCTGGGTCGACGTCTGCGCTTTTGTTGTCTCTTTCGGCGTCCTAACTGGAACTTCCTCTGTCAAATGCGTGTTTTCATCTGATACAGACTCAACGATTGGTTTCATCGGTCTTCTAGTACTTGAAGGCTCTTGCGTAGATGCTTTTGTTTTGACAAGTATTGCATCTGTGGTATCGAGAAATACGTCCCGCTGTCCAGGTTTGCGAACCCCCTTGGCGGTTGCCGAATCAGCCGTTGATTCTTGATATCTCACTGAAGGTTTGATGCGACCCGGAGCTCTGGGAGGAATTGGCGGCACATTTTCCTGGTCGGGGTCTTGTTTTCCAGGACGCTTGGTTGTTGGGCTCGTGGCTTCTAAGTCATCCTCGGGTTGAGGTTTGCGCGCTGGTCGATAAGTGGAAGGGCGTTGCGCAGTGTCTCCATGCCATGTCTTGACACGAGGGTCTCGGAAATCTGTTCCTTCTGTGCATTTGTTAGCCGGTATGAAGGTGTTTCGCAAGACCTGATTACTCACTCGGAGACTTGATCCAGATGACTTCATCCTTTTGCGGGTATACTGGGTGCCATTTGTCCAAGATTTTATTCGGGGTATCTATCGTCGTCGGAGTTTGAGCAGGCGGCACCCTGTTGGCCGGGATCTCGCTTGATTCTTGTCGCCCTGTGAAGCATGTCAAATTGCAACATCCAGGTTTCTTCTCCGGTACCTCGTCAATGTAGGCAAGTTCCCATGCTTCTGGTTGCGTAAAGGCAACCTGCGTTCCTAAGCTGCTATCATACGAAGAGTCCCAAGATGGACTTCTCTGGCCGTTAAACTGAAGATGGCCTGGGTTATCCCGAGACTGCGACTCCTTAGACCGAGTTTCAGCAGGGCGTCTTTCCTGTTCAACCGGTATGGTCTCGATGCCTTTGTCCTTTGCCGGACTCACAGATGGTTCTCGCTTTGGTCGTTGCTGATCGGACGTCACGGCTAAACCAGCAGCAAGAAACTGGTCTTGATAAGGCAACAACGCGTTGACGGTATGCAATGACACGACGGACTCCGGCGTCGGCGTGTTAACTGGAAGCTTCCCAGCAGCCTCTCTGCGCTGGGCGTAGATCTCCAATTGTTTGGTGAATCGGTCTACGGCTCGACGGTTACTTGATGTCCGCGAAGGTGGTTGACGAGGGCCCGGTGACTGGATAGAGGATCTCCTGGATGGAGACGCGAGCAGTGAAACTTGACTCTGCTGCGAAAGACTTCTGCGGATAGCGTTCCGAAGCTGTGGGTCAGCGACTCCAAAACGCTTCGCATTCGTGGCGGCCGGTTGGCGATGACTCTCGCTTGTAGCCTCCTGGACTGCCGACAAGGCTATTTCTCGCTGTTTCAGTGAGCTACCACTCGGAGCGGGACGCCCAGCTCGGGTCCGAGAGGGCCTGTGCCGGCTAGGTGACCCTGAAGGACCTGCAATTGGTCGTGTGTGAGAAGTGCGTGGTTTGCGTGGTCGGTAGGGCTCGGCCATGTTGACCGAGCGGCGAGCCATACTACTCTCCCGCTTGGGAGGACTTGAAACTGCGTGGATAGGCCTTTCCATCTCGATGTAGTACAAAGGGGGGGTTTGTTGTATAGATTCTCTGTTATGTCGCCTGTGAATGGGAGTCAACGGCCGGAGAGCGTCACACACAACGCTTCTTCGGATTCTTGCGACCTCCCTTTCCGCAGCTGCAACGGAACCTCCAGGGGAGCGATCGGGTCTTCTGACAGGCACTATGGTGGTTGTACGACGGCCAGAAATGCGTCCAGATGGCAGTCGAACTCTGCTTGTCTTTTTGGAGCGCAGAAGCATGCGTTGTTGGCCGCGAAGGCTCTCGACAGACGGGCTTATGGGCTTGCGAAAGACGTCTTCTGCTGCTCGATGGGCAAGACTTGGATCGGGTTCCGGAAAGGGCGGGGAGCAGGATGAGAGGCAATTGCAGTCTCGAAGGACTCTTTCGCACTTAAGCATTGTCCATGCTTGATGGACTTGGGATATCAGAATTGTTTTTCAAGAAGAATTGTTGATGGTATCATGCGTTCTAGGTAACAAAACGAGTCGTAGGAGAGACATGTAGTGGTACAGTGGGGGGGAGACGACGTCTCTTGCGCCCAACCTTAGGTTTTGGGACTGAGTGAGGCCTTCCTCTTATCGCGCGGGAGGGCAGCTTTTCTTTGCCAGAAGGATGCATGCCGAGTGAGCAGCTTCCTCACCTCATGACATCTTTAATGCTCGGCGATGAGTAAGTTTCGAGCTGGCGCCGACCCTTCCTCAGCAAATGTTCAACCACGGAGAAGTCGCGCTTGTCTACTGTGATGAACTTGTCAAATTCGTTCCTGGCGATTGGGTTAGAAGGATTCTCTGAGTTCAAAGGCAAGAGTCGCGGGGCTTGCCTGGCAAAAGATCTAAAGTGAGGTTGCGAAATCTATGAGTAATGTGTGAGCTCTCACATGCTAGCTTACCAGAGAAATAGGTCTCTCACCTCGGGCTTCTTGCGGACCTCTCGAAGACACTGTCTATAGAGGGCCAAAACCTCCCTTTGGAGACCGGAAAGGCCCCGTTTCGCACCTGCCATGGCGATCTAGCTCTGCACCGAAACGACGGAAGTTGCGCTGCTTCTACTTCATCAACGGCACCCGGAAAGAAAGCTCGAATCAAATCGTTGATGTCAGTTAAAGGAATGGACCCGTTTCTTAGCTTGGGCCAATAACACGGTGCTCAATTCATAGGTCTCTGATGACTCAGCGATCTGGAGCTCCCCCGAACTTGTGGGGACCTGTCCCAAAGAGGTGCCCAGGTCCCGGGGCGTCATCGCGCGATGCCGAAACCACAGCCGAGAGAGCTCAGTCCCCTTCGTGGGGAGTGCAACGACCCGAATGCCGAGATTGGGATATACTAGTCGAAAGAGTGCATTCTCTCGTGAAATTCTCCTGCAAAACTGGATTAACAACATGACAGGATGGGATACAACATGGCAGGTGAAGAGTATCCCAAGAAATAATTCGCAAAAGCTGATGCAGAGGCTGGTGATGGGGGAGCTCTGTCGCACGAGCGGCACCGGTCTTTAGCGGTTCGACCGTGCCCGCTGGGGGGTTGAAGTGTGGGGTCAGCGGCTGGGAATCGGAGACTTCCCGGTGTTGCTACGGCGTCTTCGTGAATGAGACATCTTCATTCCTACATCTACATCAATTGCTGCTCCTAAATCGTAGTATATTGCAATATTCATCTTGTCCACCCATAATTTGCGACCAGCTATTTTACCTTAATATCGACAATGGCTTCATTTTCTGTGAGTACATCCTACCACAACTCAACAGCGTGTATCCACTGACACACGCCTAGAGGCTCGTTCGCTTCCTGGCCCGCGATGGCAAGACTTACTATGGCGATGCGATTTTGCCCAGAGGCGTTTCGGACATCGCAAAGGCTAGACAAGCTCGCATCATCACTGGCGACATCTTTGGCAGACACGATGTGACGGATAACGTCGCCGACATTCGCCTGTTGCTGTCTCCTTTGGCCCCTGAGCACGTCAAGACGGTGCGTTGCCTCGGTCTCAACTATGCTAACCACGCCAAGGAGGTGAGCACGCATCCATCACTTATATGAAATCATCTTCAGCATCAACTAACATCTCATAGTCAAACATGGCCATTCCCAAATTTCCTGTTCTCTTTGTAAGTGGTTGCTTATCCAAGTATGCTAGAACGACACGCTAATTTGGCCAGTACAAACCCGTGACTTCTCTGGCCGGTCCGACCGACCCCATCCCCGTGCATCCTATCGCACAGACTGGCAGTACTCTTGACTATGAGTGTGAACTGGTCATTGTTATTGGCAAGACTGCCTCTGACGTATCAGAGGATGAGGCGCTCAACTACGTACTGGGCTACTCCGTCGGTAACGATGTGTCGCATCGTGACTGGCAGATTCAGCGTGGCGGTGGCCAGTGGTCTCTGGGTAAGGGCTTTGATGGCTGGGCGCCCTTCGGCCCTGGCATCGTCACCAACAAGATCGTTGGAGACCCCCAGAACCTCAAGATCTTCACCAAGGTCAACGGCGAGACCGTGCAGGTGAGCGGCACAGTCACTAGATGAATGGCCCAGGCTGACACGAAGGCAGAACAACAACACCAAGGATATGATCTTTGGTATCAAGAAGACAATCTCTTTCCTGAGCCAGGGCACTACCCTGCTGCCGGGTGATATCATTTTCACCGGAACGTAAGTGGAAGAACTTATAACTCTTTGTCGCGTTGTTGGTACTGACGAAAGGACAAAGGCCTGAGGGTGTTGGAATGGGACGCAAGCCTCAGTTGTGGCTCAAGGACGGAGACGTTGTCGAGGTTGGCCTTGAAAATGTGGGCTCCTGCATCAACAAGATCGAGTTTAGCAAGGTGAAGTCTAAGATCTAGAGTACAATGTATAAATGGGCTCATGGGCAGTGTATGGAGACAAAGTCATATTGAATCGGGTTTGGTTGATCGTGTTGGACGCACCGCGCGCTTATCGTCCACTCTGGTTGGAATGGGTTGAAGTGAGGCCGTATCCTGCGGCCCAACTGTTGGCAAGCCCGCATTATGTGCTTCAGATTGACCCATTGTTTTCCAACAGCCCGGCGTGAAAGTCACGTTGGCCGAAATATGCGGCCCATCGAGTACCAAACAGTCGGGAAAAGCACTCATCTACGTGCCCATAATTCAAGTTCTTTGAACGGTAGCTGCGGAACTCCAAGATTTATTTTAATTGGCCAAGCAGTCTTCTCGGTCAGTCGCTCATAATCAGAGGCGGGGAAAGGAGACGACGACGTATATGAGCAAACTAGTAAGTGACCTGCGTGAGGTGGCAGGAGGTGAGACGGGATCCACTCCAAGGTACAAGGGGTAATGAGTTGGTTTAGCGGACGCGATTTTAACAACAGGCATTCTTAGTGTAGCGGTTATCATCCCAGCCTTCCATCCGAGAAATCGTGTCTGCGAGCTGGGGACCGGGGTTCGACTCCCCGAGGATGCATTTATTTTTACATTTTTAGATTATATCCTGACTCTTTTGATCTTAGAATCCTTTTTACAATTACTTCTGATAGTCTTTTGGGTGCATTGGTGGTTGAAGTGGCGTTGGTGTTTAACTATGTAAAGTGGCGCTGTAGCTTGAGTCACTCAGTCAGCTCACGGTCAGGCACAACCCTGAGGCCCAAATAGCTTCAGTATTTGAACTTACATATGCGCCGAGCATCCACATAGGCTGGCTGTATCTGTATAATCCAAAGCTTTCCTTCCATTGTCAAATAGATGATCTGTGAGATGCTGTTTTAGCCTAGGACTGTGACATCTGCCGAGAGCGCTCCATTCGGTGACCAAGCCAGCAACAAGTGATGCACAGCCGGCGCTAACGCCCGAACACCGCCCCCAAACATTGCCCATTGCCCGACCTCGAACAGCGTTCCACAAGCCGGTTGCTGTTCACATCCTTCCCCCCACCCACCAACACATTCAGATCGCGCCCATCGTGATGCAGTCTGCCTCGGCCATTGGTGCGAGCATTGCAGTAGTTTACCCCTCGTTGCACACCAACACTAATGCTGTTTTTGGGCCGAGCCATGTCCTATGGAACGAATTCTTATCGCCCGCTACCAGCCGGGGCTGATTCCGCCCTGGACAGCATGTAGACTGCCTTGTCATTGTCATGAGGCTCCTTCGGGAGAGCCGCTGTCGGCTTGCCTGGTGGAATGGTCCCGTGATTGCCCATTCGCCGGTGCCGAGCAGAAAGTTCTGTGTTTATTCACTTTGTGGCTTGCTTTATATATGGCCGTGTCTGATCGTGCCCACGCGGGATGCCGTCCACGGACACCGTTGTGGACCGACTTTTGCTCATTCTGAATTTGATCGCCATATTAAAAAGACGGGATTCGCATCCTGTGTTGAAACTTTCCCATGTCCGCCGCCACAGAAACCGTTGTCGAGATGGATGCGGCTACATCCATGCCTGCCCGGCTCGAGGGATACACCGGGTTTTACGGCGACCCGTTTCTAACTCTTCAAGACTACGAGGTCAAGAGAAAGCCAGCCAATACAGCAAAAGGGAAAGAGAAGGCACTGCCTCCTGTTCCTGCTACCAACTCGGAATCCGAGTTAGCAATCATCGATTCATACGATGAAGTGGATGACGTCGATTTGGAAAAGTACAAACCCCCAGCTGCCCTCAAAACAGCCCCAAATATCACCGACGGGATCCTCCTTGAAGTCTTGCAGACCTCCATAGAGAACGTCGAAGCTAGGATTGCCGAGAAAAACAGGAGACGACAGCTAGAGGAGACGAGCAGACAAGAAGAAGAAGAGGCAGCTAGGGAAGATAGGAGAAAAGAGCCATATCTACCCATCATTATGGTACCGGACGAACCCGAGCCTTCAAAAGAAGAGGTCGATCAAAATGACAAACACCTCAAGCTGCTCCCAGATCTTCCTGGGAATGGCGAGGGCAGCTCAGGTGGCGGGTTGATTGTCTTCCCAATCAAGCCCAAGAAGAGGAGCCGGTTCACTCTCACAAGGATGCTACAGAAGATTACTGAAAAGGAGGCACCACTTTCGACAAGGAACCCATTCAAGTTTGGGGGAAACTCGAGCAGTAATAGCCTCGGGTCTTCTGACGAAAACAAGACTAAAAAAAGCCCTGTCGTGTAAGTCAAGTCTGCACCTCCGCCACCAGCCCTTGGACTAACAACAGCCACCAGCGAGTGCGTTTCATGTCTAGATGACTTCGACCCTAAAGATGTAATAAAAGTTACCTGCCACAGCTACTGCCGTGACTGTTTCGAGCGTCTCATCGCAGCCGCCGTACAGAACGAGCAGCAGTGGCCTCCCAAATGCTGTCTCAACGAGATACCCTTCCGGACTGTCCACCGTTACGTCTCCAAAGACCTGGGAAAGACATACAAAGACCGCTCCGCCGAGTGGAAGATACCCGTCAGCGACCGCATGTATTGCAACCAGCCCGAGTGCAGCCTCTGGATCAAGCCGGACCATATCAACAACGGTCTGCGGATCGCCAGATGCTCCAACGGCCACTGGACCTGCACCATCTGCCGCGGTCCGCAGCACGAGAACTCAGACTGCCCACTGGACCGCGATATGGCGTTGACGAATGCCCTGGCTGAGGAGGAGGGCTGGCAGCACTGCGCCAAGTGTCAGGCCCTTGTCGAGCATCGTGAGGCGTGCCAGCATATGACCTGCCGCTGCGGACATCAGTTTTGCTATGTTTGCGGCGTGAAGTGGAGGGGCTGCGCATGCACCATGGACCAGCTGAACGAGGTCAAGGCTGGCGCGGCAGCGAGGAGGGCGCGGAGGATAGAACGCGAGACTGAGGCCGACGCCGAGCTTCGCGATGCTCTGCGACAAATTGAGGAGTTTGAGCGGGAGGAGGCGTTGAAGGCGGAACTGCTAAGGCAGGAGATGGAAAGACTCGAGGAGGAACGCAGGCAGCGTGAGCTCGAGGAGAGGGTGCGTTTGGAGAGCCTGCGCAGACATGAAATCGAGACCAAGTATCAGGAGCTGCGAGAGATGCTCGAGGGGCTGCACGATGTTCAGGAGGTGATGGTGAGGTACCAGCATGACAAGGAGCTGCAGATATCTGCCCGCGAGGCGTCTACGGCTACGGATGAGCTCCTGGAGAAGCAGCGAGCGGAACTCGCCACCCTCGCTGAAGTCGCCACGCAAAAGCTTGCTGTTAAAGAACAGGCTCTCGCCAGCGAGTACAACTGCCGCGTACTAGAGGAGAAGACGACGGAGGAGGTCTACCTGCGGGACTTGGAGAATTTTTACGCAGGTCAACCTTCAAGCGAAGAACGCATCAAGGAACTGATGCATGACTTGCGCAAGAAGATGGATAAAGGATGGCGGGCTTGGACCAAGTGGCGCAACGACGAATTCGATCGGTATAAACTCAAGATCGAAGAGGAGCGGACCATTCGTGAGGAGGTCATGTACAGCATCAAGCAGAGACATGAGGAAAGCCTGGCGGAGAGCAAGAAGCAGAACGTCAGGAGGCAGGCTGCCGAGTCGCGCTGGGTGACGCTCGTGTTCGCAGAGAGGACGCGGGTGCTGGGCGACATGGAGGGTGCGGAGTTGGAAGCCGGGTCGCGCTGGGTTGAGGAGTTGGAGGCTGGGGAGTTGGGGGATGGAGCTGAAAGCTGGTACACCGAGGAGGAAGAGGCTCTGGAGGAGAACCCAGTCGGTATTGCTAGTTGACTCTTGCAAGACGGCCCCGCCTTGGTGGTGCTGGTCGTCATGCTTATCTTCATCTTCGATCTACCAAAATCTCCAGCTGTATAGCTGCCATAATCAGCACATAAGTAGTATCATCGCCTCTTGATCCTCTTGCTCCGTTTCTCCTCTTCTCGTCAAATTACCCAAGTACTTGTAGGGTAGTCGTGTCAATCCTGACGTATCATCATTGCGCCTGATTTGGTAATAAGAAACTCTTCCAACGTCGTAGCCGAACTGAAGCCAGATCCGTATCCGTTCCCAGTGTTGCCCGCAGGCACGGGGCAATCCGCCACGAGAGAGACAGTATTCTGATCATGTCAGTCAGTTCTTATTCGCTGCCGACTCGAGCCAAAAACGCAACAAACTCACCATTCCGAGGACCCCGGCGTCCAGCTGTTCAAACATGCTAGTCAGCCGGTCAGAGCTCTTCGTAAAGACATAACCAGCAAGCCCGACAGGCGTGTCATTTGCCTTCTTCACAACCTCGTCCTCCGTGTCGAATATGTAAAGCCCGAGGATCGGTGCAAAAATCTCCTCACGACACATGAGCATCGAATCCGTCATATTTCCCAAAATGGTCGGTGACATGAAGTATCCATCCCCGGGCTCTCTCCTTCCAGTGCCCAGAAGTACGGAAGCCCCCTTTTCCTCCGCGTCCTTGCACAACGCTTCTGCCTTGTACAGACCACGGATCGTCGTCAGTGGTCCCAGGGTCGTCTCCCGCTCCATCCCATGACCTGTTTTTAACTTCTCGGCCTCTTGAACCACCAGTTCCGAAAAGGAATCATAGACGCGCCGCTGGACATAACATCGGTTCGGCGCAATGCATGCCTGACCTGCATGCCGCCACTTCAGTGCCACCAGTTCCTTGGCGGTATTCTCCAGATCTGCGTCATCGAAAACGATAAAGGGACAGTTTCCACCCAGATCGAGCGACAGACGCTTCAGGTTGCGAGTGCATGTCGTGGCAACTCGCTTACCGACACGCGCGCTGCCTGTGAAACTGACTGCTTTGACAAGAGGGTGCATACATAGCGCTTCGGCGACATCTGGTGTGTTTCCCAAGCTGGTCGTTATCACGTTGAGAGCGCCGGCAGGAAATCCCGCTCGGTTTGCGAGACATGCTATCGCGAGCGCGGTGAGAGGCGTTTCGGATGAAGGCTTGATAATGACGGTACATCCCGCCGCGAGCGCGGCTGCAGACTTGCGGAGGGCAAGCGCAAGCGGGAAGCTCCATGGCACGAGTGCGAGAACGACACCAACAGGTTGTTTAAGAACCGCAGGCCGTCTCATTCTGAACCCGCTTGATGTCGGGGTGCCGCCAATTGTAGCCGGCGTAGAGGGAGTACAGGGGGTTCGAGGGGATATAGGCGAAGTTGGAAAGGTTGGAAGAACGGCTTGCGGGAAGCGGTCGGCCTCGCCGGCAAACCATCTGACCAAGCCTGCGCCGTAGTCAACTTCGGCCAATGCCTCCGCAAGAGGTTTGCCTGTCTCGTGGACAAGAATCGTAGCGAGGTCGAGGCGGGCGGCGAGTATGAGATGGTGCCAAGCCGTCAGAAGACGAGCTCGTTCGTGGTTCGAAGTATCGGCCGAGAACCCTTGGAACCCGGAGAAGGCGGATCTGACGGTTGGACCGACATCGTCCTTGGTACAGTCGGGACATGTAGCCCACACGCGACCTGTCCCCGGGTCTATGATCGCGAAGCGCTTCTTGCTCCGGGACTCGATCCACTCGTTGTGAACATGGCAGTCGCGATTGAGAAGACCTCTATCTGTGAGATTGAACGGGAGGGGAAGCGACGGAGACGGCGGAGGCAGGCCATTGACAAGGACACTGTGTCTTATATCGTTTGGGTTGTTGCTTTTCGTGGTCGAGGCGGAGGATGTGCTGCTGGATGTCGTGATGGTGCTGGTGACGGGTGAGGTTACCGCGCTAAGCATGGTCGGCGAGAAGGAAACCTTGCGTCGGTGAACATAGTCCTCCCGACCGGGCTGGATAATTGATAGCCTCCGCATCGGACCGGACACCTTTTGCGCGACAGGGAAGGCGGGGAAACCTGTGCTGTGGTGAGCAAAGATGTGGAGGAATTGAAGATTGCAACACCACGAGAATGGGCGGCAGCAATATGACGACCTGATGAATGCCGCGTAGTACGTGGAGGAGAAAATCTCCCCTCTCCTCACCCCGTTCCATCGATGCCCGATTACTATGCGGGAACCTTCGGGGAGAAAATCCGAGGTCGAATGAGAACAAGGAGTTGAGAGCTCACATGTTTTAAGCTCTGCCCCTAGGGCGTCATCTGAAGCTTGATGTGTTGGTGGTACAAAAAGTCACTCTGGCATTGCCCCTGACATGTAGGCCCAAGCTCCCAGATCGTCCTTCTTCCCCTCTCTTCTTAACGTCTTCATCCACCTTCCGACACCGTAACGGGCCGCCCCGGTCTTTGCAGTCCAAGGCACTGGTCTCCGTGACAGGTACTGACTTGTTCAGGATGTTGATCTTCCGGGCGGCCGGTGCGGAGAACGCCGGGTTTCATCCGAGCACGACGAACAGGAGGCTGCCAAAGTTCTGCACGTTCAATGCTCAGAAAGGAAACCGTTCGTGTGTAAAGGTTGAATCGGATGACGGAGGTGCCCCGGGACATCCCCGTCCGAAGAGAAGATGTTGGCAACCATGGCTAGAACGTTTGGATTCTTAGAAGGTGAACGAAACCGAAAAGCAAGGTTGTATTTTGATTAAAACCTTCCAAATATGTGCCATCGCCGTGATCTTCTCTAACAGTCCTAAAACAACCGAACACACGCACCTAGTGCATCTAGTAGTAGGACGACGTGCTCGCGCTTCTGTAATCCGGTCTTGACTCAGGAAAAGCCCCTGGGGGACCTGCGTGACCTTTTGCCTCATCGTCCGAGCTCAAAGCATCTCCATAGTCGTCTTTCCTCTCTGGCGGTGCGCGCATGGCGTCCAGGATACTTGGGTCCAGCGTTGGAGGCTGATATGGCTTGAGGGCATGAATCTCTCGGCCAGACGGCATCTGAGCCAGTAAGGGCCCGACCGGCGGAATGATCTGAACGTTCATCTAATAGCAGCATATTAGAATATTTTGAACAAGCGACGCAAACGAGGACAACTGACCGTATCGTTAAGCTTCTGCCACTTGACCTCAAGGAACTCAATCACTCTTGTTTCCTCGACCTTACCGCCGTCCGCCCCCCAGGCTGTTTCCTTCTCCACTTTCCGCTCCTCGCGCTTCTCGGTCCACTCCTTCTTGAGGCGACTGAAGCCAGATCCTTTGGCTGAGTACTTGGACTCGATACCGAGCTCCTGCAGGCCGGCCTGTAGCCAGGCGATGGCCTTCCCAACCTCGCCGCCGATCTCAGCATCAATACCAAAAAACCGACATGCTTTGGCACGGCAAGTCCGCCGAAGATCTTCGAGATAGCGCAGGAGACCCTCGTTGATCTTACTGGATCCTCGGCCTGCGGCTTGGCAAAGGGAGGATGCCTGGGCAGCGTGCTCTGCGGCGGCAAGGCACAGGCGGGCGAAGAGGTGGGCGCGGACCTTGGGAATATCAGGAGCTTTGTACATCCACTCGCGGTCATTCTTGTTGCGGTCCTGAGAAACAATGGCCGGGTAAGGGTCGTCTTTCAAGACTGCGAGGAGAGTTGCTTCGGCGAGCGCGAGCGAGGACATTGCGCGGAGGGTTGACGGCGAAACATCGCTGCAAGGTGGTGCCGTTTGCACTCTCTCTGCCTTGATGGCCAACCAGTCGTATATCGATGCGGCATCCAGGAGATACTTAGTTGCAGTTTGGATTGCAGCTGTTCGCTGCTGGGCATCCAAGGTGGCCTGTGTCGTCACAAATAGCGGGTGAAGGGCAGCCCGAGCAACCAAGTTGTATGCGCTGGCCAAGCTTGACAAGGTGAAAGCAATCTCATAGTCCACAGACTGAACCTTTACCCTGGAGCGTTCTCTCCCGGGGACTGCATTGTCCGAGAGCGTCGGACGCCATTCGATCGTCGGTGGTGAGGTAGCCCTGAGGCTGATGCTTTCTCCAAACTGAGCGTTCGGATTGAGGCCGGCATCGACAGCTAATATATACGGAACGTAGCCACTGAGAGCCCCGATAACAGTGGATATGTGGGATGACTGCGAAGGAGGTGGGAGGCGCTTGTGTTTCTTCAGAGCATCTCTCACGACCCCGCGATACGTACTAGCGCTGAGGGGCAAGGAGGGATGGGTATCGCTGGTGAAGCTCGAGGAGAATGAGAAAGCCGACGTGGTAGGGAGAACAAAAGGAAAAGGCATAACTGAAGAGACGGCGTTGATCCGGCAAGAATTGGAGGCAAGGAGGTCAGATTCGATGAGAGGGGCACGATTCGCCGTTGATCATTGAGCTACCTGGCATTGAAGTTGCCAGTCAGTGCCCGAGACGAGACCTGACTGACTGCACCCGCCTGTGACGTTGGCCGTCCCGGATCAGCCAATTGGGGCTAGTCCTGTCAACCCCAGACAAAGTCACGTGGCCGACAGCCATCAACTGGGGAAAGCAGCCATCAACTTTAGGTTCCTCGCCCCTGGTGAAGCAAATCGCACCACCGACAGCTAATCCGACAACAATTGATTGAATCCTCGGGGCGGTTGTCGACTATGAATGCCGGTGGGATGAACAAGACTGAAACTCTAAGGACTTGCGCAATGGCAGTGTTGCCTCAGCTGCCCAAGGAAGAAAGCTTCGAGGAATTCAGGTGTCTGGACCTTCCACCGAAGATGGGGAAAAAAAGATAATTCCGCCTTGAAAAGCATCAGCTAGTTGTGGAGTCTACATCCTAGGAATCAGGCGAATGAGAGCCCCAGCAACTGAGTTAGATTCTAAATAAGAGGCTTCTTTTGGGTCTAAGAGCAACATGCGGCAGGTGGCAGATAATAAAGGTGCTGGGTAAGTACCCGGCTCTGTGCTTTCCTTAGCGGCCCGGGATGTGGGTACCTTTCAGCATGGTGCAGCTCCAATGGCCAGCACCACACACCACACACCACACCACACTGCAGTGAGCTGTCGTTAACGCGACGTGGACCCTTGAATTTCAACTCGGGACTGTCACCTGGAGTTCAACAGCCAAGTCAACAGCTCCCGGCGAACTTTACCACCACCCACGGCAGCTGATGCCGCACCGCACGAATCGACTTGACATTTCAGACTGAGCTGCAATCATGAGCAGTCCATCGCCCCATAAGCCTCGGCGCAGGGCAGGAAAGAAGGGCAACGGAATCGGCGGAGGAAGCAGCTCCAGTCCTGCGGTCGACAACCAGCTCTCTAAGAAGGAAGCTTTGGTCAAGGTCCCCGTCTTCCCATTGGCCTCATTCCTGTGGCCTGCTCGAGGCTCCGTTTCACAATGGGAGGTCCTGCCCTTGATTCTCATGGTCGTTGGCCTTTTCAGATGGGCCGCTGGCCTCTGGGGATACTCTGGTAAGTGCGCCCTGATCGGTCCCCGCGACTTTCGCGGCAACTGCTGACAGCTTTGCTTCTCACAGGCTTCCAGAAGCCGCCCATGTTCGGAGACTACGAAGCGCAAAGACACTGGATGGAGATCACGACGCAAATTCCCGTTTCGCAGTGGTACTTCCATGACCTCCAATGGTGGGGTCTCGACTACCCGCCCCTGACGGCATACCACAGCTGGCTCTGCGGCAAAGTTGGCGCCCTCATCGATCCCACCTGGTTCGAGCTGTACACCTCGCGCGGATCCGACGACCCGACGCTCAAGATCTTCATGCGCGCCACCGTCATCGTCTCCGAATATCTCATCTACATCCCCGCCGCTGTCATCTTCGTCCGTCGCTTTTCCAGACACAGCGGCGTGCCTACGTGGACTGCGTGGATGGCCCTAGTCGCAATCTTGTTGCAGCCAGGCACCATACTCATTGACCATGTTCACTTTCAATACAACACCGTCATGCTCGGCTTCGTCCTCGCAAGCATGTCGAGTATGCTGGCTGGCCGCTATCTCTGGTCAGCAGTCTTCTTTGTCGCGGCGCTCGGCTTCAAGCAAATGGCTCTCTATTATGCTTTCTCCGTCTTCTCTTTCCTCCTGGGAAGCTGCGTTTTCCCCCTGAAGCCAGGTCGCTTCATCGGCATTGCGCTGGTGACCGTTGCGGCCTTTGCCATTCTGATTGCGCCTCTGGTCCTGGGCACAGTCTACGATGCGCGCCGAGGTATTGATGCGCGACCAGACTACGATGGACCACCTCCTGCCCTTCCTCTGTTCCCCTGGCTGACCGACATTCTGGACACGAACGCCGTCTACTACCCAGTCGTCGAGCAGCTCGTGCAAATGGTCCACCGCATCTTCCCGTTTGCGCGCGGCCTCTTTGAAGACAAGGTCGCCAACTTCTGGTGCGCTCTCAACGTTGTCGTCAAGCTTCGAAAGTACCCCTCCGAGCTTCTTCAGCGCGGTGCTCTTCTGGTGACCACCGCATCCATTATCCCGCCGAATCTGGTCCTCTTCTTTCGCCCGCGCAAGTCGCTCTTGCCTCTTGCTTTTGCGACAACGGCGTGGGGCTTCTTCCTTTTCAGCTTCCAGGTTCACGAGAAGAGCGTTCTGCTTCCTCTGATGCCCATGACCCTCCTCTTGGCCGGCAAGCAGGGACTTTCGCGCGATGTGAGGGCGTGGGTTGGATTCGCCAACATCCTGGGCGTTTGGACAATGTTCCCCCTACTTAAGCGGGTGGACCTCAGCGTCCCTTATGCAGTCCTTACTTTGCTTTGGGCTTTCCTCCTCGGACTGCCTCCAACATCGTTGAGCGCCTACTTCCAGGAGGACCACTCCGCCTTGCGAAAATGGGCAACTTTCCTCCTGCACGGTGGTTTCTACATTGCCATGGCTGCTTGGCATGTGGTGGAAGCCACAGTCCCGCCGCCTATCGACAAGCCCGACCTTTGGGTTGTTGCAAATGTCGGCTTGGGTGCGGTGGGCTTCGGCATCTGCTATCTATGGTGTTTGGTGCAGTTGGTAGCTCAGAGCGACATTTTGACAAGGGGTAGCACAAAATCCAAGGCGAAGAGCCAGTAGATGGGGCGGTTAGCTAGCAATGGCTGTGTACATATTGGAGATTCTACGTCAAGAGTCTGTGTATCGATACGGGCAAAGGTTACAAAGCCGCAAGCATCAAAAGAAGGTTTAGCGAATAACATATGAAGACACTTTTTAACAAGACCGGTACAATGCTGCCCACCACCTGGCGATGCAAATATCTAAGGGGAGCCGATAGAAAACAGGGAATCTCATGATTATATCAACACCATCCAACCTCTGGCCGCCTTTTGTTTTGAGCTCCAGTGTACACCCTTTGCCACTGATTACGAAACCTGCACAAACGCCCTCTTCTTAATGGACCGGCTTTCGTCGCCATCGTCCCAGTTCTCGTCGACGTAGTCCTTGACGCTCTTCTCCTGGATCTGCATGCCGACAACCTTGAGCGCGGCAATGTTGAAACCCATCTCATCTTTTTGGCGCTTCAGCGCGGCGCGCAGGTTGGTGCGGATGCCGTCGAGCATCGTGCGCATCGTGCGGCTGGCCACGATTTGACGGTGGTGCGTCTTGAGCATGAAGAAGAGGATGCGGCACGTCAGCGGGATGTTCATGGAGCGCTGGGCAAAGATGTTAAGGAAGGTGAAGAGCATCGGCACGGTCGAGAAGGGGAGGACGAGCAGCGCGTCGTGGAGGGCAGATGCCTTGATGCGGTTCAGCACGCTCATGACGTATGCCTCGGCGGTGATATTGCCGAGGGCGATGAAGATGGGGTTGCGCTGCGGCGGAGGGGCGTGCGGGTTCGTCTTCTTGGCGTCCTCGTACTCCTTGAGCAGGTTCAAGTCCGCGATACCGATCTCGAGGGCCTCGGCGATGCGCTCACCGGCCATGAGGGTCTCGACAGTCTGCTTGGTGGCGGCGCCGACTTCGCCGTCTTGGTCCTCGGCGTCTGGATCGCGTTCGAGGGAGGTGGTAAGCGTCTTTTCGTAGAGCTCTTCAATCTCCTTCTCGCGCTCTTCCTCGAGGAAAATTTGCTCGTCCGTCTCGTCCCAGACGCGGATGGACTTGTCGTGACCGGCGGTGACGAGGAACTGGCCACTGTGGCCTACGGCCATGGCCCAGACCTCGCCGTGATGGCCGTCCAGGCGCTGGATCTGCTCGAACTTGTCGCCGTCCCAGTACTTGATGCAGCGGTCCTTGCTGCTGCTGAAGAAGTGGTGGCCGTTGCCGTCCGAGTTGTGCGGCACGAACGCAACCTGCAGGATACTGTCTTGGTGACCGAAGAGGGCCTTGTGGCAGTCACCAAAGTCAAGACCCCATATCCTGATGTTCTTGTCGGCGGAGCTGGTGACAATGAGCTTGCTGTCGTAGGAGATATCCATGCTGAGGACCGGGAGCTTGTGGCCATAAAGGTTGAGGTAGAGCTTCAGGCTATCGGTGAAAAACACCTTGACAGTGTTGTCGAGAAGGGAGACGGCGATGTACTTTCCGTCGGGGGAGTAGCGCACGCAGAGGATGTCGTCCGCAACTTTAAGCGTCCTCGATTGTACGAGCTTCAGCTTCGGTACGGTACGTGTGGTGCCCAGGACTTCCTCTTGGACGATTCGGAAGTCCCAGAACTTGGCAGACTTGTCGGCGCTACCAGACACTACGGACTTACCATCTGGATGCACTTGTAATGACCAGATGGCTCCCTCGTGTGCGGTGACGCTGTCCAAAAGGCTTGCGGAAGCGACGTCAAAGAGCTCAAGTTCTCCAGTCTTGGTGCCAACAACCACGACCTTGTCACCGGGCAAGAATGCGCAGCACAAGGCATAGCCGCACTCAAATGTTCGAATACAAGTCTGAGTCTTGATATTCCAAATTTTCAGACCACCGTTGGCAGCCGTCGCCAGCATTTTGTCGTCGGAACTCAGCGATACCGCGCGGATATCTGTTCTGTGTCCCGGGAGATCGACCGCCAGAGATCTCGTGTAGTCAGGCAGCTCGTCCTTCTTCGATTTGGAGGCGTCTTTTGTTGGTATGCTGTAGTACTCGAGCTGGTTGTTGGTGGTACCAGCCAGCAGGTTGATCTCCTTGCTGCCGCTGGTGACGGCCCAGTCCACCGACCGCACCTTGCCGCCCGTCCGGACTATTACGTACTGGACGAAGAAATCGCTGGCTTCGGCACTCGACAGGTCGTCCGCCTGGTCGTCGTTCTCGGCGTCGTCCTCGGTCTTCCCCTCCTTCGCAGCCTTCTCACGTCTCCTCTTCTTCTTTCTCGCCAAAGACTTCTTGACC